GATTGTATAAACAACGTAGATTGTATCTAGATCTGGAGACTGTAGTGATCTATCTAGTCAAGTCTAAGTCTAATAACATATTTTAAAATGGCTAGTAGTTGATTCTAGCTAGGGCCAGACTTTTATCATCTATTATTACAAGATTTACTATATTCACTAATTCTAGGACTAGATCCAGATGTAGAACCAAGTCGATAATTCGGCCATTGGACAGACTGGGCTCTATAGCTTTGGTCAGCAGCCAGTCTAGGAGACGGAAACTCCGATATAACACCTACGGCTGTCTGTGGTTCACTGCCGTCTCAGACTTCTATGCTACTGTGAACTGCTTTTAGCTTAAAGAGTGGTATTGGTCTGCGCGATCCAATTATCACTTTAAAAATACTCTGCTCAGGCTGGAGGCAAAATGCATACGATATAATAAATATAAAGAATATGTGTTAGACTTTTATTACATTCAATAATGTTATGCTTCTTTTATTTTAATTTAGGGCGTGAAGTGGCTTCTGAACTATAGAATCTCAAGTTCAAATCATCTAGTGAAGATAGGTTTTTTGTACCCATATGATTATATAAGACGCCTTGACCTACCTGTTGAAGTAATAGCGGTTGGTTGTTGTGATGTTGACATAAGATCCTTGGTAACTGTCAGTCGTAGAACAGATGTAAAGTACCGGTACCCAGTTCATACCTTGCGATCGATGGAAGATGATATAAAGGTCATCTGTTTCTGTGGCCCACTGTTAAAGATGGTGTTATGTGGCCAGTACAACGATCAACCGCATTACTTTACTTTTCCCCAACTAATGTCAGGCACCCAATTAGAGATGGATGGACTCAGAGGCGCCCAAAGATCCAGAAATTAAAAATCCGTCTTCACTGATGTCAGTTAGAGCTGGGTAACTCATGTGCACCAAAAAAGATCCCAAAAATAAAAATCCCAGTCTTCACTGATGTCAGTTAGAGCTGGGTAACTCATGTGAGCCAAAAAGATCCCAAAATTAAAAATCCCAGTCTTTACCAGAATTTGAAGTTATTTAATCCTATAAAATCACAACTTTTTTGTACCCAATTCATTTTAAAAGCTATATTCAATGAAGCATATTATATTACGTGCGGGACTGTCGTTTGGATTTATCGATGGTCTCGGGTTTAAACCCTGCCCGCTCCCATCCCCATACGGGAGGTTTGGACTAGGAAGTAAACTATCTTCAGCACCGAAGGAACATCCGAAACATGTAAAACATTTTACAAATATTATTATGATAGCCATAAGCAGGTGACCTATTTCCAATCTCAGATAAACAGATTATTTAGACCTAATTGGAGAAAACTGCAGACCAGGAAAAGATCTTACATTAATATTGGATGCCACGCCCAAAAGTTGGTTTAGACTATCACGAGCTGTTGCAAACAGTTGAATGGCCAAACACTTGAAGTTAGCTTATGTAAATACCTAGGGTCAAAGGCAACAAGAGATGGAGGATCTTGGTGTCCACTGCCATTAGCAGACTGTGGCTATTTGATATTTTGAGTTTTAGTCGTGGCTATAAACCCTCAAGGGTTACTTACCCTTTATAGCTCATGTTCTAAGTGTTATTCAGTTAAGTTATTTAAAAAAAATTAAGTCCATTCATAGCTCAAATGGTAAAAATTTATATAATTAAAAAAAAATCTGTTGAAAATAATTACAATTACTTAGCCCTCTCTCAAATTAAATTTTCGTAGTCAAAAGCATATCCCGGTTAAAGCCCATTATTTCCCAGGGTCGACATAAATCTGGAAGAGTAACATTAGCTTCCAAGTAAAGATGAACTGCTGTATCTGCTGCTATATGGTTGTGAAAGTTGGACACTGAAACTGAAAGAAGAACTCAAGACTTTGTAAAACAAATTTCCTCACGAATAAGAATGGCCATTGTTATTATCAAATGCTACAGAAAAATGCTGGGTATCAGATACCAGGTAAATAAAATTAAGGAGTCTCTACTTTAACTCACAAGTCAACACTGGCTAGCAAAAAGGAACTCAATACTGTGAAGAGACGAAAGCTGAGATGGCTTAGTCATATTGTAAGACATGACCCACTGTCAAAAGGCATCCTTCAAGGTACAGTGGAGGGAGCATGAAGAAAGGGTCCTCCCAAAGAAAAGCTGGATTGATAATGTAAATGAATGAACCTGTACCTCTCTTGATATGCTAAGAACTGCCGCTGACTAGACAACATAAAAGAATGGACCTGCATCTATCTCGCTAAGAACTGCTGCTGACTGGACAACATAAAAGAATGGACCTGCATCTATCTCGCTAAGAACTGCTGCTGACTGGACAACATAAAAGAATGGACCTGCATCTATCTCGCTAAGAACTGCTGCTGACTGGACAACATAAAAGAATGGACCTGCATCTATCTCGCTAAGAACTGCTGCTGACTGGACAACATAAAAGAATGGACCTGCATCTATCTCGCTAAGAACTGCTGCTGACTGGACAACATAAAAGAATGGACCTGCATCTATCTCGCTAAGAACTGCTGCTGACTGGACAACATAAAAGAATGGACCTGCATCTATCTCGCTAAGAACTGCTGCTGACTGGACAACATAAAAGAATGGACCTGCATCTATCTCGCTAAGAACTGCTGCTGACTGGACAACATAAAAGAATGGACCTGCATCTATCTCGCTAAGAACTGCTGCTGACTGGACAACATAAAAGAATGGACCTGCATCTATCTCGCTAAGAACTGCTGCTGACTGGACAACATAAAAGAATGGACCTGCATCTATCTCGCTAAGAACTGCTGCTGACTGGACAACATAAAAGAATGGACCTGCATCTATCTCGCTAAGAACTGCTGCTGACTGGACAACATAAAAGAATGGACCTGCATCTATCTCGCTAAGAACTGCTGCTAACTGGACAACATAAAAGAATGGACCTGCATCTATCTCGCTAAGAACTGCTGCTGACTGGACAACATAAAAGAATGGACCTGCATCTATCTCGCTAAGAACTGCTGCTGACTGGACAACATAAAAGAATGGACCTGCATCTATCTCGCTAAGAACTGCTGCTGACTGGACAACATAAAAGAATGGACCTGCATCTATCTCGCTAAGAACTGCTGCTGACTGGGCAACATAGAAGAATGGACCTGCATCTATCTTGCTAAGAAATGCTGCTGACTGGACAACATACAAGAATGGACCTGCTCCTCCCTAGATATCTCGCTAAGAACTGCTGCTGACTGGACAACATAAAAGAATGGACCTGCATCTATCTCGCTAAGAACTGCTGCTGACTGGACAACATAAAAGAATGGACCTGCATCTATCTCGCTAAGAACTGCTGCTGACTGGGCAACATAGAAGAATGGACCTGCATCTATCTTGCTAAGAAATGCTGCTGACTGGACAACATACAAGAATGGACCTGCTCCTCACTAGATATCCTGCTAAGAACTGCTGCTGACTGGAAAAAGTGGAGGGATTGTTGTCACAGCAACCCTACACATAAGTTGAGGAACAGATGATGATGTGATACAATGACAGGATAGGGTTCAATTATTTTCCTTCACCTATCCTTTAGTCTGTTGGGGCATCACACAAGATTGGTCAACTGTCTTTTCTCAACCCCTCTCTGACTTTTGCTTTGGATAGAATCTCAATGTAATTTTGCTTACCTACAAATATCTTACACCAATAATATACATGTAATTATAATTTTAAAAATCTAATTCCAAAAATTACTTGTAGATAAAAAATGAAGGATGATTCTATTGTGTAGAAAAAAAACTCTCAAATTGAACATAACATAAAGAGGTACACTTTAAGTCAATTCTTTTAAAATAATCAGCAACAAATGAGACTGAGGACATAATTTTTTAAATACTGACGCACCAGATGAACTGTTTAATTAAAAAAATCTTACACACACACAAAGAAAATAAAACAAACACATATTAACGTTTTTTTCATGAAGTTTTAGAAATTTTTTATTTATTTCAAATGCCAAATTATATATAAACATGTTAAAAATTCAAGTAAATAGCAATTGTTAAATTAAACAACTTTGTCCTAGTAAAGTTGTCTTTAGGGACGTAATTTATTAAGGTACAAGACTGGTAGCAGCAGTTATTTTCAGTACTTTTCATTTGAATTAAGATCTGTATCTGAAGAATTATGTATCAAATTGAAATATTTTGTGTAAATCTCTAGCAAAGTCAATAGAAAAAAAACAAAAACACTTTGTTGTATTTCTAATGTAATTTATTGTTAAAATTTTTTAGATGTCTTTTAACCAATATAAAGTCTCTGGTTTAAGCATTTGCTGAAAAAAAGAATTTTAAAAATTTCTTTGTAAGCAGAGGCGCAGTGACAAAGTGGTAAAGCATTTGGCTTCCGAAACGAGAAGTCCAGGGTTCAAATCCAGGTGAAAACTGCGATTTTTTTATTTCTTTAGGGTGTCTTAGAAATCATCCAGATGTAATGAGTACCTGAAATTAAATGTGGAAAAGCAAATGCAGTTGGTCATTGTGCTAGATACAAGACACCCTAGTTAATCATGCGCTACAGAAACAAGGGTATTTTTTTAACTTTCACTCAACTAGATAATGAGGAACAAAAATTTAATGTAAAATAGTTTCAACAGCTTACAAAAAATATTATGGAAAAACAAAAGCATAAACTTAAATTGCTTAGTTTCCTAGTAATTCCTTTATGTCATATTACATATAGCATAACACTATAAGGAATAAACATTTTACATTTTTATTCAAAATGTTTAAAACCACATCATTTTCACATACTTTTATTATTTTCTTACCCCATGTACTCATCATCTTAACTAAACATACATATTTTGTTAATAAAAAAAACAAAATTTTTTTTTACATCTACCAAAAAAATAGTCACAAAACATTTGATTTTTTTATCAACAAAATAGATATAATTAATATGCATAGAATGGTGCTATTCCACTGACCAATGAGTTGAAGGGTCACCCACAAGCCCTTATCAGTTCTCCGTCCAGTGCTCTGTTACAGACGGGATGGAAAAGTGATGAGGAAACGTAGGCTTTAAGTTCGTCATTGGCCAGACACTAGAATCGGTTGACTAAAATTCCATGATAAAAAAAAAATGGCTCTTTAAAACCATGGGTACAAAACTAACTAAACAATATCTCAATTCGTTGACTACAAATAAGATTGTTGGTGGAACAGCATCTGAACAAAATTCTAACAATAATTTCCACTAGGAATCTTAAACAAAAAGAAATGTTTTTTCATCTATTAATAATTGCTGCTTATCATTACTGCCAGGTATTAGGTTACAGATGCTGGGATGCTGCTTCAGTTATTATACACCTTTCCCATCTCAGAACAACGCAGCACATTCCCATCTTGAGCTCACTGTATGTATTTATTGGCCATCTTTCAGGACACATCTCAGTTCATCTTCACAGCCAGCCTGCAGAAACATACCATATAATTATCAGGTCATGACCAAGAAAGATATTAAATAACTTTTGTTTATTAAAATGGCTTAGAAAAAAAATATATAAATTGAATGAATCATACAAATGAAAAAAAAATTTCTTAGCAGACTTTTTCAGTGCATGAAACTCACTCCCCTTTGAACATAAAAAAAAATAAATTCTCATAGTATTTCTCTCTATTTTTTTTACCACTTGTTATAGAGTGTGTGCGTATCTATGGTGACGGTGGGAAGAGGTTAGCGATTGGCAGTGAATGATGAAAAAAAAAAATAACCAGCATTGTCATCAGTGGTTTAAGCTAGGACACAACTCCAGAATGCATAGTGAAAAGATGTGTTTTATAGTGAGATAAATTTTGTTAAAAATACCATTTTATATAATTGCTTAAGTCTACTACATTGATTTAATATCATCTCCAGTTTACTTGTTCATATTGTAATAAAAACTATCTTTATTTCTGTTCACAAAAAAAGTTATTCACATTATTTTAAGTTTTAAATGTTATAATATAATCTGCCTACAAAGGTTTAGTTTCCTACCAGCAGTTTGGGGCTACAAGTCAACGTCCGTCTGCAACAAAACTTCATCTTATCCTTGTGCATTTCAATAATATCTTCCTTCTACTTTTTCTAACGCAGATCTTTCCTGATTATAGCATGCTCGGAACTCTATGGTCCAATCTTTTTAGGGGATCAGAGTGTCTAGGGAAAAGTTTTTGTGCTGCCTACAGGCACTCAGCAAAACACAATTCAGCTCAAGGCGGGTTTCGAACTCGAGACCGATAGGTAGCAAAGCAATGAATACCTCTCAGCCAAACATCGATTAGTATCTAATTGAAATAAGAAGGCTAAATATTGAGCCAAAGAAAACTGTCTCCAGCATGCAACAGAACACCGGCCTTTACAAGCCTACTGACCATATGTTTTGTTACAAGCAGCTGACAAAACTAATTCTAGCCTCGTTAAATTTATGTCCTTAGAAGATATCTCTTCAACAAAATCTTTAGTCCAAGACAAGTTCAGCCTTTCTCAAGGAAAAAAAAAGATTTATAACTAAACCAAATTTTTTTTTTAAGCTTTTTTTTTTTGTTCTCTTCAATGAAAGCAAACAGGAGAATAATTATCCTGGCCATTTCTTGTCTAGAGTGTCTTTCTGGCAACTAAAGAGATATTGATTATTGAACACAGACAAATCTTTTATCTCCCCTACTTTGTTCCTGCTTTCTTTATTACATTTATTTCCCCCCACACATTATTGAACTGTCTGTACGCCGAGGTGTTGAAATAATAACTAGGTCAAACAAAACTATTACATTTATTGGCCAAATGAATTACAGCCGACCTCGGCCCTGGTAACAAAAGCACAATGGATGACAAGATGGCACACTCGTCCAACCCACCTGCAATAATGAAACAGTAATATTTACAAGCAGGGAAAAAAAAAATTAATGGAAATTTGTTTTATCGAATTATTCAAGGAACTTAATTAGCTGCACAGGTCTAATGCTAGAGCTGCCAGAGTTTTGACAAGAGCTCTACAACGAATGAGGAAAGAGATTTGATCCAAGTTAAAAAAACAAAAACATATAGGGGCTGCAAAAATAGCAATGGAATATGACCACAATTGTTGCTGTTGGTCTAGTTGCCATGGTAACATTCATACCATTACACCAAACACTGGATAGAGAGAATAAGACACTGCTTCAGTATTTCCTTGGAAAGATTATTTAAGGCACATATTCCTTTATAACTTAACAAGTATCTTAATCAAAGATAAAATAACTATAACCCCAGCAAACATCCAGGTTTTAAGACTGATTTTATCAATGCATCGAGACTCTCATTTCGTCTATGAGATAATAATTTATTAATGTAGTCCAAAAGCTAATTTTATTTGTGATAATGATAAAACGAATAAAAAAAAAAAAGCTTAATTCTGAAAAGATGAAAAAAAAAAAAATTGAAATAAGGCACAAGAATTAGACCTAATCAACATTTAATAATATCCCACTAGTTAAAGCAAGAGGGCTTTTTCAGAAAATTGGAAATTGTGTGTGCTGAATGTTGTTTTTTTTAAAATTGCTTTCAAAGATAACATACTTGTCTAGCAGTCCAACAGATATAATATGAAGTTACAATATTGAAATGTTGCTAGCAGAGCCCATCGACTACCTATCAAGTAATGTTACTAATCAGCACTGAAACTATGCTTGAAGTCTAGTGTACCTCAGTCAATATTCAAAACTCAACAGACATGAATACACAGTTCTAGTGTTACACACAATGGGCTATGCAAGTGTCTCTCAAACTGTGGGGACTGCTCCCAGATGTCCTATCATGGGGAAGCAACTTTCTGAAAAAAGGGGGATTGGGGAGAATGTGCCAAGCCCGTCGATTAATTTTTTAAGGGACAACAAAAGTCATTGTCATAGTAGTAATAAATTTATATTTGACAATTAACGAAGAAAAAAATATTACCTACATTTAAAAAATGGAATTTTTAAAGTATCTGACATTTCATCTACTAAGTAAGATCTTTATTAATATGCCAACAATGTTTTCAAAAGAGAATTACATTCAAGTCCAACCCTTTTTTTCTTTACACCCCAAGAAAAATTATAAAAACAACAACAATTGCAACCTACAAGTTTTTGTTAACATGAAAAACTATTATGTGATACCTCCTCAAAGCTAGAAAACTTGGGCAGTGGACAGAGGAGCAGTGAAGCTATAGACTTAGCTTCACATTACTGTTTGTTTCTATCAAACATTCCTTTCTAGACAACGCTTCATTAATATTATACAAAATTTGTAATGAACAAAATACTGCAGCAGGTGGCATACACAGCACTCTTCCATTCAGTTTAACATGGTTAGCATTAATTCCTTGTCACCACCGCTGTACAAGCCAGCCATTATTTCACTCAAATAAAAGACCCATTCATGACACAAAATATCACAATTGCCATACCATAGCCTGTTCACTCCACCATTCAACTGCCAGCCAAACACACTCACTCAACCATACTCAACACAAAAATGGACGAAGAACTGATAAGGGTACTCAACTCTGCATGGGAAACTTTTTATGTCTCATTAGCATCACGTTACAGCTTAGTGTTGATGTGTTGTCACCCTAGCACCAGTGTTAATGGAGAACAAAGATTAGGTGCTGTATTCAACTATAGATATGTCATGTAAAGTAAAGTTCCCCTTTCAGACCTTGTGGTCTATAGGGCCATATGATGTAAACGTAAAGGTCATCCGTTTCTGTGGCCAACGGTTAACGAGGGTGTCGTAGCCAGCACAACGACCAACTGCCTTCACTTTTCCCCAACTAATGTCAGGTACACATTAGAGCTGGGTGGACTCAGAGGCACCCAAAGATCCCAAAATTAAAAATCTCAGTCTTCACCGGGATTCGAGCCCAGAACCTCTGGTTTGGAAGCCAAGCACTTTACCACTCAGCCACAGTGCCTCCTAGATATCATGTAAATTCATTTTAAGAAACAACTGACATCAATTTGAAAGTTGACTGTTCCTTTGCAAGCAACTTTTATTGCCGATGCTCTAGTCCTTAGTCAACCGTTTCTGCCCTTAGCAGTAGTTAAATAGCTTTGTTCATAACTCATCTGGCTGTGTCAATTTTTAAGTCACTATTTCTTGTCACTATAAAGTAAATAATAAAAGAAACAATATTTGATGTACCTTTACCTATCCCTTAGTCTGTTGGACCGTTGGGGCACCAAGCAAGACTTGCCGTCTTTCTCCATTCCTCCATGTCTTTTGCCTTCTTTGGCATAACAAGGTGATAATAACCACTCTCATATCTTGTATGGAGCACTAAAGTGATAATATATTATAGCATTAAAAACAAACAAAAAAACTTATCTTGAGCCAAGTCCTTTGTTAAGTTCCTATCACATTGCTTCATACTTGACTTTAAAACACTGTATGCCCTGCTTGTGCACTGGTTTTAGGCATATAGACACACCAGTTAGGTCAACTTACACACCAGTAGGATCTGAAGGACACAAAATACAGAATTGTTAGTTAAATGTTTTAGGAATAGTGAAAAAAAAAGTAGAGTCTAACCTTGCTAGACCAAGTGATACATAACAAAAACAAAACAAAACAACAACACCCAAGGTCATAGAAAAAACAACAGAAAGATTTAAAACAATATAAAGCTTAGCAATAGAAACTAGCTATTCATAAGAATCACCAGTCTGTACTTCTGTTTAACCTACACAATGAATAAGTATTAACATACTTATGTTCTAGTTACTTATGCCAGTCTTGTCCTAGTCATCCTTAACAGCATTTAGCAATCTGTTCCCATCAAATTATGGGCAGAAGAGTTACTTTAAGGTCAGCCAGGTTGGGGTTTGTGGACTACAAGGTTAAATACTGCATTCTGGGGGGACGAATTTGTCAGACACAGCTTTAAAGTAATTTTCTGAATACACTATTGACAACTGACAATAATGGCACAGTAGAGAGCCACATTCCCATAGTTGGACATTCCTACAAAACAAGTTTGGCTCTTCTAAAGCTTTTATGGTACAGGGCAGAGTGTTTCA